AGCAATACATCAAATTGGGGTAGCAAATATGCAAGATAATGCATATGCTAAGTAATCTAGGACTTTAAGTCTGATCCTCGGCTCCTTCTGCACTTGTTTCCTCTGCTACTTGTGTGATGCGATCCTGAGACTATAACGGTTCACCGTTGCTTCCAATGCTTCCATCGAACGCTTAGTTCCAGCCCATGCCAACAGCCCAGGATCAGTTGTGTTTTATTGGCTGATCAGTTGACTATGATGGATGTGGCAGTCGCTCTTTCTTACCATCTTTTTTTATATAAATCCCCGTGTGTATACAGGGGGCATGGTGCAGGCTCATGTCATGTGAGCCACCTGCGGCCGATCCCGCCTCCGGTTTTCTTGGCATCAGGAACTCATGGGGGAGTGAAGAAACAACGCGGCAGATGCAGTGAAAAATTACTATCACATAAATAATTCACTTGTAAGTCACCGTTCCTGCACTGCACCGCTACGACGCGCACGGTGCATTTAGTCAAAATGTAAGGTCAAACGGTCATGGGTTCGTGGGCTGAACATGCTCACCCTGCGGCAAATGACATTTTTGACGCCTGTGTCTTAGTAGTCATCATAACGGGCATTCTGTATATATGTGTAATCCGAGCTAAGCGAGCCCAACTCCGTGACAAATGACCCCATTGACTTAGGTGAGAGTTGGCACTTTTTGTGATCTTACCGTTTTTTCGCTGTCGGCATGCAAACCTGTTTACTGGTGGTTCGCGTTCGCCCGTCAATGTACCATCAACGGACTTCAGTAATAATAATAATAAGGTTTATTTGTAAAGCACATCTTCGGCGCCGTCAAAAACCCCAGAAGACAGGAAAAAACCTTACCCAAACCCATTATTTTGCAGTCACTATTGCGGTCACAGCAGTCAGCACACCAGAAATCATTTCTCGCCACTCTATTAAAACTGTCAGGCAGCTAGTCAGTATGTTTGTGGAAAATAACTTTACGCCCTTCCTACGTTCACATAAAAATTTCAAGAAGAAAGGACACTGTAGAGAAAATGCAGACAGGTGAATGTGAACACAGTCACATTTTGCATTAGCGTTTAAGGTTAATTCGTCCCCTAATTCACGTTGTGTTGCAGTATATGGATATCAAGTCAGAGTTTGAAGATAATCACATCTTGGGACAAAGCAGGTGCCACGGGTAGGTTATCCTACAGTTCCAATACCACGTTAGGTAAAAAATAACTCCTCACATGTCCTTAAGGCACATGTATTTTAAGGGGTGCCCCGGAGATTACTTGTCGTGGCGAGTTGGAAAAAGCTGACACACAGGGAGACGCGGTCCACGTCACGTAAGATGCGAAATGTTTGCATCAGCTCTCCATGTAATCGCCTGTAACTCGGAGGATTTGTATCAAGGCTATTTATGCAGATTTCATACGGAAATGCACCATTTCTATTAGGTTGCAATCCTGCTGACTCTATGGTCTCCAGACTTGGATCGCCTTTTCAAATACGGCTTTATAATCCTACCAAGAATTTTAGAGCAGCAGTGTTAATCGAAAACGGTAAACGGCCGCTTGCTAGCGTACAACACATAAGTTGTAGCTTTATTCATCTTACGTCATTGTGTAGGAGGCCTTTCGGACTTCCGAATTCCGACAATCTTCTCTATGTCCGCTTCCTGGAGTGGCATTCCGTTCAGTTTAGTTTTCACTTTATTTGGTGAGGATAATAGGCTTTGCCTTTGAAAACCCTGTTGATTACATGCCGGTGCGTCTCACGTACGCACAGGCACCTATACAAATTACCACTACTAACATAGTATTGGCAAACAGTAAGTAGCATTGTTTTTACAAATAATTCTGGTGGTTAGAGTTCAGACTTCGAGGGCTAAGAGGGGATGCGTGTAATTATCCAAACGTTGTTTGTACAACTGAAGGGAAGTGGCCTCTACGGCTGACTGCGGGAGGTTGTTCCACTGTTGTATGGCACGTTGCGTGAAGAATTGAGAGCGGAGGTTGAGCTTGGACATCTTCGTGCGCAGCTTCATTGTGTGCCCACGGAGAGGAGGCAAGAGGTGCCACTTAAGACATGTCCTCAAAGCGTAATCCTTTCTCAAGACCGTGTATTAAATAGTAAACTAAGATAAGATCCCTTCTTTGTTGCCTGTAATGCAGAGGGAATAAATTTAGGCAT